TCTTCCCCGTCGCTGCGCGGGAACGGCTCTGCCTCCCACCAGCCCTCGGCCCCACGCTTCTGTTTTCCTCGGTGACAGGCGGGGAAGATGGCCGAAGGGGGAACCGGCACGGAGGTGCCAGGGTTCACCCGAACGAGCCCCTTTTCCCGGGACAAACCCGCCTGGTCATCTCCTGCCCCAGCTGGTGCGGCCCGGATCACGCTTTACTGTCCCTACAGACACTGCAGTACAGAGAACTTCAGTCTAATGAGACTCGGTGAACAAAGCCACGTTTCCTCCTACCTGAACAGAACTGCAATGCTGTTTACCGCCGCTTAATATATGTTTTAGCACAGAACTGGAAAAAAAAAAACCTCTTTCTAGGCACATGTTCCCCACGTTCTGTGCTGTTTGTTCATGTTCAGCACTCAGCCCCCCTTAAGTCATGCAACATTAGGAATTACAGGATGATACAACTTCAAGTCGTTTTCATGATTAGATGCTTTTATTAAGAAGTGATCTCTGCAGTATTCTTTAAATTAACTGATTTTGTGATTTACCTAGAAAGAAAAAAGTAACTAGGGTGTGATGTCTCTTCTGGATAAGCCCTGATCTTTCTGTTTATGCAAATTTTGATAGACAATCCTATTCCTGAAAGCAATTTGGCTGAATTAAGCTAACCATCTTTGCTATTACCATTACAGTATTGGCTTTTAAGTGTCTTCTAGACATGCAATTCACTGTGTACTTTTCAGTTCTCACAGTTTCTCCAGGAAAGGTTCACAGTATTGCATATGCAACCTCCAGATAAACACAGAGCAGAATCTTTCTGCACTACCACCAGCGACACTCCAGGCTGTCAAAGCTGTTCACCTTTGCTAGGCAGTAAGGCCACAGTATCTTTACTCACATTTACTGAACGCATTCAGCAAATGTGGGACCAAGAAACAAAAAGCTTTCCAGGCAGATAGGTACTGCCTTGCTTTCTCTAGGGTGCCGCTACCAGAGAAGGTAGGAGCTGATTTCCAAGGTGCTGGCAGAGAGAGAAATCATTAAAAACATTGATAAGACTGCACTTCTCTACCTTCACAGGTTTCTCTGAGCAGGTCTATCCTGTGTTCAGTACTTTCATGCTGAATGTTTCAGTAGGCACTCAGTTTACTTCACGGGGCTCAGAGAAAAGCTACCAAGAATAAAATTTTTAGGAGAGTCCCGTTCCTTTCCTGCTTGCCTTCAGCTATGTATGAATTAAGAGGCATTGAAAATAGCTCCACACTGACTCTTATCATCAGCACTGGAAATATATCCTGAGTTGCTACAATTGTGGGCTTCATTCCACTGAGAGCTGTACACTTTCAGTCTGTTTTGGTGGCTGCTGCTGCTGTTCGTACTTCCTTGCTGAAAAAAAGAAACACGGATCAACATCGATTATACCATTTATTATATACATGCATATATATGTGTGTGCATGTATAGATATCTATATATATACATGTATAAATGTGATAACAATTAAGAAATAGAGAATGTAATTTCACCGTTTAGCCACAGAAGGGGAAGTTTCACTCACCACGTGGAACTAGTCCTTTAGCATATGGCCTTGGACAGGCTGAACAGTAGGGTCATAGCAAAATGTCAGTAAATTAATGGCAGAAAACTATGATTCCATTCAGGTCCTTTCATTTAAAAAATATAATTAAAGACAATGGCTTCAGAAGTACTATTACAGATGACTTGAACAGCTCATTAGTCACAAAGTTGATCTCCACATCACTCATCTCTTCCACAATGTACAAGCCACAAGCTAACAACTACATAGACTTCAAAATTAATCTGGTTAGCAAGGCAAAGGGAGATGAAAGATTTGCGTGTGGTGGATCAAACACCAACAACGAATGACAGCAGGCATTCCTCTGTAGGAATAAAAAAGGATGTGCTTCCTACAGAATGCAATGGCCTGGTTTAAGAATCTCCACGTTAAGCCTTTACATTTAAAAAGTGGTTTCAACACATTCAGTATTTCTTGCCCATATTTCCTTTAGGCATACATGTATGGCAGACGTGAAGCAAGTACAGGTGTTTCTCTGAATTGAACCTCTGGAACATGAGAGGCATGGGGCTCTTTCCTACCTCCATCCTGACCTTCAACATTAAGATGGGAGCAGCAACACTTGTTGGTACAGTAAAACTTTCATTTATTTTCCGTTTATGAAGTTGAATTACTTGATATTCCACAGTCCTCTTAAGTGTTACAAATCCATCCACGTTTTGACAACGTTCAGACATTCCCAGCTCTTTTTAACTTCAACATCGGACTTGTTTCGACAGCTCGGAGAGAACCGCACGGCCGCTCCCTCACCCCGTGCCTCCTCACGCCTCGATCCCGTGACCCGCGCTGCTGCGGAACCCCTGCTCGCACGCTGCCGGGGGAGCGGCGCTCCGCCCCGGTGTCCCCACCGCACGAGGGCAGCCCGGCTCGAGGCCCGCCCTGCAGGAACCGTCCCCCGTAACCCCACAGGCCCGGGGGAGCCCCCTCTTTCCTTTGACTTACCGATGGAGTACATCTCCAGCTGCTGCCGCAGGCGGATCTTCTTCATGCTGTCGTAGAAGTTGGGCTCGGGCGGCGTCTCGGCGGCTGGGGGCAGGGTGAAGATGCGCATGATCCTCCTCTTGTTCCTGCGAGAAGGGAAGGGGTGGCAAGGCGGTGAGAGGCTCGGCCCGGCCCGCCCGGCTACACGTGGGGTCGGCGCGGCCGCTTCCCGGCGGCAGCCCTTATCTACCAGTCCGTGGGCGAGAGGACATAAGCAGTTGACAGTTTCTCGCCCAGACACGGGGGATATAACAGTCTTTTTGCTTTCACGGTGCCAGATTCTGAGGGGAAACGCGCAGGCGGGTAGAGGGGCAGTGGAGGTGTGAATTCAGCAGCTCTGAGCACCCGGCAGGCGCAGTCAAAAGCCGCCTTTGCTCGCCTGGGCTGGTGCTCACTCTGTGGCAGCAGAATCATGTGGGACATCGCTTAGCAGCGCATGGTGTCAAGAGAAAAAGGTTCGGGTTGTCACGAGCTTTCACTTTTCACATAGGAACTAAATTTGACACTTTAGGTTGTCAAATCGAAACAGCACTTCATGAAAAATCTTGCCTCTTTTTCTTTCCCTGCCTTGTGCCAAAATGGGAGTTGCTGGATATTCAGATGCTTGAGTAACAGCTTACTCCTGTGGTCCATACGCTCCTGATGCCAAAAAGCACAATTCTAGGATTATGCGTTGGCAGAAAAGGTGGAGCAGAGCAAGCGTTTTTGGTTTAGAAACTCGAAAAGTTGTCTGAACTGCTTAATGATGAACATCTGTTCATTAATGATAAACAGATGAACGAGGCAGAGGATGTTCTAACACAAACACACGCACGCTTTTTTTTTACCGCCTGATGTGGCATCTATGAGCTACATGATAGGCTAGGTGTGCTGTCCTTCTCCTGCTACTTTCTATCCACCTCTGGCCCTGATACTTCCTTTTACCTTGTCTTCCTTCAGACACTAGAACTATTACAATGTAGACATTATGGATATGGTTCATCTCCCTTCACTTTACGCATATTTGGGGTATGTGCTTATATTATGGTTATTTGTCTTCACCCTTTAAAAGACAATGAGGGGAAGAACCAAGTATTTTGAGGGCATGATTTATCTAACCTATGTCAAACATTCAGAATGAGTTCTCCTGTGCCCAGGAAGTACTCTGACAGCTTTCTGAGTAAAGGGAGTCTAGACACCTCATTTGGATAGCACTCGCTTTCCAAATGTCCAACCAGCCTAGGAAACACCATCCTTTGGGGAGCCATTTTCTGAGTGCAAGATGTGCCAAGTCACTCTCTTAACGTGCTATGGAAGAGATTAATTTTAAGAGGCCTCAGATCAGGATATAAAAGGATATGAATGAAAATGACAATATGAAAAAATAAAAAGCTAAGGCACTTATCATGAGAAAAGTTCCTTGCCCCACATGGTGTGGGAAAGAAGAGTAGAACAGCAATTAGACATAATTCTAGGTCATTAAATCGGGATGGCACCCATGCACAGAACTGTGGAAACCACTAAAAGAAAAAAAAAGAGTATCACTTACGCAACATGAGAGAAAACAGTTAATTAAGCATGGTTTCACAGGGATTTTAAACAGTTTGTTGTGAAGTTGAGGCTTTTTGTTTGATTTTTTAGTATGTTGAACCTTTCTGGTAACAGGCCTGACAAGAAAGCATTACGTGCCTGTGGAAGAAAAATGGAAAGAATAAACTTAAATAACTTGGGTGCTCCTTATATTTCACTACTACCTCTAGACATCAGTTGAGATCACACTGCTTTCTATGGGGTGTAGAGAAACTGTATTGAAGCTGTATCTAAAGGCACTATTTATATTAACCCTGCAGCTCTTCTCTGGACAACCTGGGAAGGGACTGGAATGCCCCAGGACTCTGCACCCAGCTTCCCATCTGGAGGAAACCAAGGCCCGCATCCACAAAGCATGACTTCAGGTCTCAGTGTTTTCTCTGCAACCTCCAGCACACAGGGACAGACTCTGCCTCACTCAGCAGGTGCCTGATTTGTTTGATTTAATTAAATGCTTGATTTAAGGCTCAGATAATCCACCCACCCCCAACCGAGAAGATAGGCAGAGAGAGATTTTCTTCCCCCACATACCCTTCTGAAATTAGCAAATGTTAAGCAGCGTGTAGGACAGGATTGGGTTGAGGAGCACAACATCTGGCACTGCAGTGAGTATGACAGCCTTGCAAACCTGAGAAAAAGGGGTGATCTCCCACTTGCTGGCCTGTAGCGATGAGAATTCTGGGAGTGTAGACCTTCTGCGTGACTTCCTTGAGGAATCTGGTTCAAATACCAAAGTTGGTTGACTCTTAAGCCTAGGTTAGCTTGTCCTGGTACACTGTTGTTTCCTTTTATATAGCTTGGGCTTTTGTTTCAGTCTTAGGCTCCTGAAACACCTTCAGAAATGGGAATGCAAGCTGCTGTTGAATTTGGGCAGAGCAAAGTCAGGCCTTGCAGTTGTCATTATGTGCAGGAGAAATGGTGTGACCTGTCTGTGTAGATTATGCACCATATTTATTTTTAGCTTGGATGAGGTGGCATGGGATAACCAACGCTTGTGTATGCTGTTAATGCATGAGGACATGAGTTGTTTTCTATTTTCTTATACTATAGCTGCTTGTAGGGAGAGGACTGTCATTTTGTACTGTGTGTGTATAGCATCTGACCGCCAGGATCCTGGCCTGTGACCAAAGCATGCAGGCACCAAACAAATAATATCTAATAATAATACATGGGATTGGCATAAACTATTCTGGCAAAATGTAGCTAATGGAGACCCAAGCTTCATGGCTAGATTTTCAACATTACACAGTAACAAATAGGCCTGGGGAGTTTCAGCTATGGGTGAGACACAGCCCCTCACAGGAAGCAGCTGGTGGGGACAAAACCACATAGCTTTGTGATTTAATTGAAAAAAAAAAAAAAAAATCACAACTTTTACAAAAGTGGGAACTTTGCTAATTCCACAAAGAATTCTAGCATGTACTTGATAAAAGCACCCACTTCAGTCCCATCGATTTATCAAGAGAATTGCTGAAAAGGGTCTTCCAGCTCTACAGGGAAAGAATTCACTTTCCAGAAGTCCTTAGCATCCAGCAACTACTATGAATTTGACTGAAAGCTGCTGAATATTATCAGTTTTGAAAATCCACTTACTTCATATCCAAAATGTGAATGTTGGAATCTAACAGTAAGCTTGTTCTTTTGAAAATTATGGCCAAAGAATCTGTCTGTGTCTCCATATATAAATATATAATTTTTAATGGATTTTGAGTTACCCAGAGCTAAACAGAATCAGAAATCGCTGAGACATAAATGTCACTGTAATGTAAATATATTCACCATTTAATCCTGATAAATACTGAATTAGAGACTTCAGAACACAGACTGACAATTATTGGAAATCATGCGGTCATCTCAAATATACAGTATTTCAATTAAAATAAAACCATAAAATCCTTTTTCTTTTTTAAAAGTACCATCTAGCATATAATTTATTTGGATGAACTCTACAAATATACACATTATATCATGCTAGAAGAACTTGATAACCACTTTTTTCTTGTTCCCAGGGTCTCTTGACTGTTGGTAAGACATTACAGTCATAATGATAGAATCGGTTTACAGTTGCAAATTCTGCCAAATATCTCACAAATTATATTTGGCAAACAGCACTGCCTCTGTTTCACACAAAGATAATGATATGATGTTTTGTTTATGTGGCACCAAAGGAAAATATTGGTTTAGAGCTTGTGATAGAATTTCAAAAAGTTTGTGTGGTATTCTAAACTTTTGATACACTTAATAGTTACCACTCTATTAAATACAGAGTAACACAGACTTTAAAAGTATTGTTCAAAAAAGAAAAAAAAAACCCAACCAAACAAAAGAAAAAACCCAACTCCCCTGTTCAATTAAATAGGTTGTGTCCATTTTATTTCCCAAGCATTTACACAGACCTACATAGCAGCTGGTGTAGATATGCATGCAATACTTTTTACATCTGATGGTGTTGAACATACAAATGAGTTTCCTTAAAGGCTGCTCACCTGTACAGGATTTAGTGTTATAGGAGTGCTTTTAGGATGCACTCTGAAACTCACGGCACACAAAGGGAAACACACTACATCAGACTGGAGCCACCTAGAAGACTGCAGGCAGTTTGGAAAGGAGAACAGCATAACCTCGACAGTGGTTATCTGTGGTTATTCAGTGAACTGAATCTGGGACTCTGTTCTGAAACAGGCTGTTTCCATTCTATATCATGTGGTACAAACCTGCCTGGTAAGGGCTAAACTTTATTGGGAAATCCACTGGTAAATTGTTTTGGCAACAGCATGGGACCAAAGGTAGAGCATGCCATACCAGTAGTGTGTCCAGGTGCCTTGACACAGTTGGCACCCACAGCCAGACTGTCAGCAGGCTCAGCTGGCATGTCCAAGGTCTCCCTGTCTCCTCCACTGCTGGCACAGCAGTGTCCCAGGGGATTCAATCTGGGAACCAGGTACTATTTCTTGAGTCTGGGAGATGGTCTCTGCTTTGGTTCTTTGTCTAGCTGGTCAGATGGGGTGGGCAGGATGTGCTGTGGGCCTGCTGCAGGGATGACAGAAGAGGCATTGCCCAAAAGGGAAGGACAAGGTGGAGCAGATCACTGACCTCAGCAAAAGGGTTGTTCTCTCACTGGGCAAGGGGCCAGACCCAAGGCCTTCAACTTCATAATGGCAGCAAACAAAAGCCCTGGGACCACTGGGACCATATCTGCCTTGTCACTGACCACCTAGGGTGGTTTGGGGAACCAGGTCCTCTGAAGTTTTCTGAAGGGGATGAGCACCAGTAGCATTCCTTCTCCTTGTGTGGCCTGCGTCTTTGTGCAGCTTCTTTGGCTGGACTTTCGGGATGGAAAAACAGGGATAAAATAGGAAACCTGGCAATAACCATCCCAGGAGAAGCATCTTTTGTGGGAAAGGACAGGGAATGTGGCGCCCTTGATTTGAGCTTGAGATGAGAACCAGCAGCTGTTGTTGAGGTTAGGCATAGCTGTGGCAGTGGTCTTGGCAAGGAAGATCATGTCCACTGGTCTATAGCTGGCTGGGGAGTGCATGAGGAGAGGGACTTGCAGGCTTCCAGCTGTGAACAGGCCTCTTCTGCTCTTCATCCTTTGATGTTTTCCACCAGCCATAAAAGAGCTGCTTGTACTGAGGCAGCAAAACCCCTGAATGCTTATCCAAGGCTGTCATTGGTGGTGAAAACTGAAATGGCCAACAGAAAGAATTAGAAAGAGGGGAGACAACTGCATGTACAGCTGTCCTGCCTCTTTTTCCCTCTCTGTGAGGCCTTGCCTCTTCCCTTTAAGGGAAAAGAAGCTGGAAATGTGGGAAGGATGGGATTCATGCAGTCTTGAGATTGTGGAAGGGGTTAGTGAGGAAGAACAGAAAGATGGAGAGGGTGCAAACTCCTCTGATTTTACTGAAAGACTGGAAGGAGGTGACACTGAAACTTGGTTGAGGTTGCACCAGGTTGAGCTTAAAAGGAACGTTAAAGTCCACAAATACCATGGGCAAGTTAAAGGGGAGGTAGCCCCTTCAACAGGTGTATGTGGCTCTTCTGACAGCCCTTATATCTATCTGTCTTGTTACTACGGACTTGCTAAGGCAAAGACAATGAGATCTTTTAGGGGTTTATGGAAGTTTGCTAGCAAAAATCTGGCTCCATGGAGGCCAGATCCTGGCTACGTTTGGGCATGAGAGCCTGCAACTGCTAGTAACTAATGCTAAGATGACCTTCATGCTGCCATCTAGTGTTTCCTCATAGACGGAAACAACATGCCAAAAAGGAAACTTTGAAGTTCCATAATGCTGTATTCAGAACAAATGTAATTTATTCCTGCTGAAATACAACACTGGACAACACAGAAGCTGAAGGACAGGGAATGGGGAAGAGACATGCTTAGGGTGAATGTTTAGGGAGACACCTTTTCTTAAAAAAAATTGTAACTATGTCATCCAGGCACAGAGAGACATCTCTATGGCAAGATAATTATTCGGAACCAGAATTTGTCCTCATTTGTCTTTCACTCTGTGAAATTATTATGGCTGTTTGCAAGGTGCAACAGTACACAACAAAGCAAGAATCCAAGCAGAAACTTGTCTTAACTGAGACAGACCACCATATGAACCTTGGCAGGTTCTTCTTGTCTGTCCTTGCTACTCTCATAAAAACACATGGTATGTTTACTTCACAGCCATCAGATGCTGATTTTTCTTTCAAGCATACATGATGGCTAACAAGAGGTAACAAGTTATTGCTGGGGGCGCATGCAAAAGATTTGACTCTTGGCCCTCCAAATCTTGATCCCTGGCTTTGAGGAGCTGTAACAGGATGCTTTTCCAACCGTTGCACATCCTGGATTCATGCTGGAACTGTAGAACTCTAACCCTGATAATAACAACTCAAGAGTGCATGGGCTGGACAATGCAATTACAACAGAGAGAGCATGCTTTTTCACCCAGGCTTCTATAAGGTGCTTTGAGTCAAAGTCCAAAACAAACATGAAGAATACAAAATCATTGTTCTCTTTTGGAGACCCTGATTTTTGAGCTTTGCTTCCCGACAACCTGAGCAGGAAAGCTGCCAGGAAGGACTACACAAGTGAAAAATGGCAAAAATCAGTTAATTTAACAAAATAGACTGCCCAGAGGGAAAGGAAGGCAATAATGAGCAGTCTTTAAAGGGCTCCTGCTGGCATTGTATGAAATTAGGTATGAATTTAGTAATTTGCGGAAAGTTTTCCCATTTATAATAAAATTTTGGTAGCAATAGAACACAGGTGCATTTGAACATTATGTATACAAACTGACTGCATATTCTCAGTGTAGTCGTAAAACAGTGGAGAGTAATACCAGCACAGCAAAGAACAGAACCAAACTCTTCAGCAGAAAGGACCATGTACTTCTCTGCTTGCAAACCACCTCTCAAGTCAAAACATGAAAGTTGTTTCAGGCCCTTAGGTCTTTCAAAGACCTAGTCCATAGAACAGAAAGTCCTCAGGTGCGTAATGGTAGGGTCCATGTGTCTCATTCATACTATTCCTGTTTTTTTCACTGAGAGAACAAGTACATCCCAATCCCACCAAACAGAGCCTACTGCTGGATTAAGGCATCATTATTCTTCCTCTCCAGCTGTTGGTACCAGGCTGTAACATCGACGTAGGTACCAAAAGCACATTGAATGAAAAAGCAGCCTTTCTTTATGCTTAGTGGGCTTTGAATTCAGACCCAATAACATTGTATGCTCTAAATATAGGGGGTTTATTTTCCAAAGCTCAGGTTCAAAGCTCATTGCTGTGGAAGGAAGTCACATTTCCGTTTCCTTGTTCTCCCCCCTTCCATCAAGTCACGATGACTTAGCCTGCGTATGTGAATGAAAAAAGATACACTTCAGCTCTCTTCTAAAGTGTTCAGGGTTTCTATGGATTAAAAAAGAGCATGAGGATGAGGATGAGCATCAACAGGATGAACTGTTTTACAGCTTCATCTCCAAAAAGCCCATCTGAGGTTACCACAGGGCAAAGGCTTGAAAACCAAGAGCACATGTCTGCAAGCCGTCTCTTTGGGATCTGCATCATCTGCTTGCTTACAAAGTGGCCACATGCTTGCTGTTGTGGGCTATGGGGCCCACAGAGCAATGGCCATACAGCTCCAAAAACAACCCATTCCCCAGCCAGCAGGGAGAGACTGCTGTTGGGGCTCTGGCATCGGGGTTCACCAAAACCTGAAGTGAACTGGCGTACTCCTTTCTGAGTGACGACTGTTTTTACTCCATGGGGAAGTGAGTGAGAGCTTTGTGGATAAGACATGGGCCAAAGCCACAGGAATCAGAGCAAAGCTTGTGGGGGACATGCCCTGGTCTCTGCTCTCCAGTCCTCTGCCAATCAGTTTAAGTGGACCAATATTTTGGGGTTTTTAACTCTTTTTTCTGTATTTTTTAAGAGAGTTTTTGTGTAAAAGTTGCAAAAGAAAGTTTATTGTTTCTTAAGGAACAAATTTGCCCCCACACCCACACAGTTTAATTTTTCTCCCTCCTCCTCTTCCAATGATAGATTAAACATGCTGATGGGAAGCTTGCACAGCTCCAGCATTGGATTATTTTTTTTTAAATCAAAAGGTACAAATTCAGTTGTTCTTTTCTTCTCAGTTTTGGGGACAGAGATTTTGCCCTTCAGGCAAGCTAAATAAATAGGAAGGGTATCAACTTCAGTATGTTGTTTGTCTCATGATTCACTATAACATTTCCCTAGTACCAGGCATGGCCGCTTCCCGAATAAGCAGAGTTAAAACTTTCCTGTAGGTGTCTAAGACCTCTTGGGCAGAAGGCCTTTCAGCCGGGTCCTTCTTCTTACATGCTGCATGGATGTCAAACAAATGCAGTCGCACAATGTCACTTCCTTCAACGTGGCCCAAGAAAAAATTGAAGACATCCGGGATTTTCCAGATGTCTGTTTTTTCATCATAGGGAGGCATGAGGTCGTCCTCAAATGGCACCTCTTCTCCATAGGGCCAACGCTGCTCAGGAGCAACAAACTCACCCCGGAGCTCCCGATGACCGCACTTCACCAGCACGCCAGCACTCCTGTTCACAAGAGGCAAAGCGTCCAAATCATTCACCAGGATGTGAAAGTCACTTGTTAGGAGATACTGAGAGAGGACCTTGTCCAGGTCATTCGAGTCACACATCACTAAGGTGCCCAGAGGGCTGCTGTGCAGGTACCGAATGATGCTCACATAGTCCATAGCAAGCATCAGCCTGCGATGCCAGGTGTTCATGCCCTTGTACTTGGGGATGTGCAGAGTTTCATTCAGGCCCCTCAGGGAGCCTAGGGGATGGTACTCGGTGAGAATTGTGAACTGCCGCTCACAGTAGCCAAGTAGCCGGACAACATGCTTGCTTTGAAGTGCTTTCAGCATCTTCAGTCCGTGGAGAAAGTCCTCCTTCAGCTCTGAGTTGGTGAGCTGTGAGAGGACCACTTTGTTTTCCTTCCACTCAGAAAGGAAGACCTGAGAACACACAAGAGACATGTAAGATGCATGGAGAGCCTTCTTCCACCAACTGCTACCAGCTGCCACTGATCTCCAAGTTACTGCCTAGTCACAACTGCAAATTGCAGTCACCAGGCACAGTCAAGCCTTTAGGTAGGGCCATGTACCTGTCACAGCAAGCCTTTACCGACGTCATAATTAGATCGTGATTTCCTAAGTTTTCTTTGGAAATGGACAATGCAGACAAATTATTTTATACCACCCAACCAGTCAGTGCCACAAATGTACCATGCTCCACAAGCACTTCACTGATCTCTGTGATTTTGTTTGTGTAGCTGGATGTCGCTTGGCGTCAGGTTCTCCTACCTGTTCTGTGCACCTCATCAGTAGCCATATGCCCCTGGATGTCTACAGTAATTACCTGCTGCAAGGATTATAACAGCAGTATGGGCATTAATTAGGCGGCAAACAGTGAAAGCTCTTTATCCACAGGAGAGAAAAAAGGAAAACCAAACTCACCTTTTTCACGGCGCCTTCACCAACACACTTGAGTTTCCTGACTTCCCTATTTATGGCTTCGCAGGAGAGCCACGGGGAGCAATTCTTCACCGCTCCCAGTTTGAAGTACCCGTAAGGGCAGAGGCTGGGGTCCGCTTCGGCACGTCCTGCCGAGGTGTAAAACTTGTTGAGGTACAGGTAGAGCAGGGCATTAAGGAGCAGGACGGCCGCAAGCAGTAACACACAGGAGACAGCCGACACCTCCCTGGGAGGAAACTCCCTCCTAACGAAGTGTGGTTTCTTTTCCATGGCCGTGCCTTCTGCATTCTCCGGGACAGCCGGAGGCTAAGCTGGACCCTCTTCCCAGCCGGGGGACGAACCTCTGCGGGGCTTTTTCATTGCAGGCTCCACAGCTGCCTCGCAGACACTGCCGTCCTGAGCCCGCAGCCTACGAGAAAGGCCACGCGTGGCAGCGGTATATGTTAAAAGCGGCTTCAAGCTCGACGCCGGCCTCGCTGTTCATCCTTCCGGCTTGCCAAGCGGTAGGGCCCGGGCTGCCGGGCCGCCCCGCTTGACCCCGGAAAACACAGC